ATTTATTGTATTTGACGCTAGTAAGTGACCGGGGCCCCAGCTAGAAATGAAACATTTTTTAAACCCAGCTTCGGCTTAACTATAAGATTTAGCAGGGATTGATAGCCGAGGTTAAAAAAAAAATTTTAATACTTTATATATTATAATTTTATGCTTACATTTACTAATTATTAAATACTGGCATAAATTTATACATTTTCAAACTCTAAGTTACTTCCAACAAGATTACAAGCAACCACTATTAAATTATAAGTTACTTTAAAATAGAGAATAACTAAAAATACTAGGAAATAGTTAATTAAAGAATTGAAAAGTTGTAGGTGGTATATATAAAAAAATAAACATGAAAAACATAAAAAAAAACAACATAAAAACATGGCTAATAGTTATAAGGTTTTTTGATATGCAAGGTAAAAAACTGGATTAGTAAAAGTTTTTGTAGCATGAAGGGACAGATACAGTAAAAGGATGCAACTTGTTAAAATGTATGAAACAAGCAAGAATGAGTTTTGGTTTGTTGTAATAGAGATTATAGCTTGTTTGAGTATTGACCATGATTGTATTTGTAGAAAAAAAGAAAGAAAATCTTACAATAATGGAAGAGTCGCACAAACTTGGAAGATAAAGCAGGTCTAATTATATTTACAATGCACTTTTAGACTTTGTCTGAGGGTAAGAAGGTTGATGTTTATCAATGTTGGAAAGCCAACAATATTGCAATTTTTTTTTGCAGTAAATAAATGTTTTGTTGTCTAACAAAAGTTGTGGATTTTAAATCCACACTTAAAATCCACAAGCCACTGCATACCTTAGGCTGTTACAGAAAAAAATGAAGACTTTTTGTCAAAAGAAGAGTATTAAGTTAAGTCGCCAGGAATTAGAGCTACTTTAGATATCATGAAAATCGTTATTGTAGATAAGAAACAATACAGAAGCTAAGATAGAACCTTGTGGTACCCTTAAAGCTATTTGAAATAAAGAAGAAGGTAGGCCTTCAAGAATAACTTAACTACTGCAGTTAGAGAAAAATAATTTAATAACCTTAAAACCTTTATATAAAGAAACTAATAACAGAGTAAAAACCAACTAACTAACTTGTAGGATAGTTGGAAAGGTCAAAGTGTTTTGTAGGGTTTAGAAAAACTAAAACCACTTATTTAGTACTTTTTAAAAGTTTAGCAAAAATTGAAGAGAGTTCTGGAGAACACTTTTTTAAGACTCTGATGGAAATCTTGTCTGGAGCACAAACTATAGAAGTGTTTAATTAAGAATTAACTTTAGCATTGGAAGCCAGAGTGATTTGGATAACAATTGGTTAATCTGTTCAAATGTCAGGAAGTGTATGGCCATTATATTCAAGAGTCAAATTAGGGTAAGATTTCTTTGCAAATAACTCTACTTTATTCTTGGGAGAAGTAAAAAGATTAGACACATCAACTAAAGATTAAATGTTAGACTCACTTAAGTTAATCACACTGTTGAAGACTAACCAAAAGTCTCTGGAACCTAAGAGATGTTCCTGTAAAAAAGATGAAAAAAATGATTAATGTTTAATAAAGAAAATGCTCAAGGTGATGAAAAATGTGGAGTAGAATGAGGCTTGACTTAAAGTTGAAGAGAAGTAATAAAAGCTTCCAAACATTTATTCCAGAAGGAATAAAAGCTTCCAAGATGCACTTTATGCATACATACAGGGTGGCCACTGGTCATGGAAATTATGGAAATGTCATGGAATTTTATTTTTGTCATGGAGAAAGTAATGGAATTCTTAAATTTTCATGGAAAATTTATGAAAGTTTTTAAAATGATCTTTATTTTTTTCTACGTGATATTTTTAGGATGCAAAAAAAAGTACTAGTATGTCTAAATCCTTTTTGAAAAAGATATTTTTGCAGTGTAAGTTATTAGAGAAGTAAAAGAAAATAAGTTTTTTTCAGATTTACCAATTCACTACTTTTTACCAATTAGTTTTAGATTTGCATGTTTTACTATAACCAAGTTGCAAATGCTACTGAGTATTTATCAGAGTTGCAAATGCTACTGAATATTTTACTCTAGTGATTTATCATAAAAGTTTATGAAGAGTCATGGAGATGTCATGAAAAAGTGATGGAATTTCATTTTCAAATATGAGTAGCTACCCTGTACATATTATGGATATAAACATATCTGTTTGTTACTTATTTAGATGCAGGCATACAACATCCTTTTATTGTTATATAAACTTTAGTAATTATATGGATTAGTATTTGTCAAAAGAGAAGACAATCAGATGGATGTGAGGTGTGACTAAAGCAAGACAAAAAAAGTAGGCATAATTTTAGACAGATTCAAAAAAACATTGTATTGAACAACGTTTGTTAGAAAAGATTAAAGTAATTTAGGCATCAGCATATAGCGAGGTACCAGCTTCAGTAGAAAATGGTAGTGGTAATAAAAAACTTGAAGAGAGTACCTTACAAAATATATGATTGAGCTTTAGTTAAGAAAAAAAAATGCTCTAGATTGTTTATATTAGAGAAACAGCATAAAAAAGAAAAGTTAAAGGTTTGGAAGCTGATGACAATGATCACGATGATCATGATCATGATGATAATGACCATGATGATGATAATGATAATGATCATCATCATCATCAGGCTTTAGCATTCCTATTTTATGCCGTTGATGATGATGATTGTGATGATGATGATCATGATAATGATCATTACCATGATAATAATGATGATTATGATAATCATGTTGATCATAATGTTTATATATGCATATATATACAAAATATAACATGAATTTTGAATTAAAAAAATATACTTTAGGAAGTATAAATGTTTATATATCCTAAACCCCGGTCACAAACCTGGCCCTGGCTATATTTTATCAAACCCGGTCCTGGTCAAATATCAACCCTGGTCGTTTACTATTTGACATGAATACAAAAAATTTATTTAAACAAAATTTGGGGTTCCCTTTTTTCAATTAATCTTTAACAACATTTAAAAAGTTATTAAATTCTATATTTGTTAGTTTTATTCAATCTATAAATAAAAAGTTTCTTGAAAAATAACTATAAATTAATATAACTAAATATAAATAAAATATAGAAACAATAAAAATATATATAATTTTAAAAAAATGTTTTCTACACAATATTGATCTTTTTTAAAAGAATTAAAAGATTTTTTATTTTTTTTTAAATAAGGTTGAAAAGAGTAATGAACCTTGGTGAGATTAATTTAAAATTTCTAAAGATAAATTATAAACAAATAACTTGATTTATTGTTTGAATAAAAGTAGAAAACACCACAGACTAAAACAAAAGGTCAAACCAAATCTAATTGTGTAAGTTGTTAACTTACTAAGTAAAAGTATAATGGTGAAACAACACATTTTTGTTCTAAACATAAAAAAAAAATTCCAAAAAGTTTCTTTTAACTTATTTTCTGTTTGTTTTTTTGAAACAAACAAAACTTGTTTGAGCAATATATTATTAGAAAACAGAGTTTAATATCTGTAGCACTCTAAAACCATGCATGGATATCATATTCATCTTTAACATTGTACCTTAAATGTTCATGATATGGTAGAGAAGGATTTTTTTTAAATTTTAGACCCAGTGTAGCACTACAGAACAGAAAGGAATATATGAGAAGGGAGGAGAAAGAAGGCAACACTATTAAAAATTCCCAACACTATCAAAAATTAGTAAAAACACTGTAAAAAATTTATAACTGGCTTAGACACCCTGTAAAGGGTGTACAACTTTCCAAATTTATTCTCTTACTTCTGTGCTTACTATTATCTTACTCTTGATTCCATTCTCTATAAATTTCTTACTCGTCGATGTATAGAACACATGAACACTACTGTTGTCAAATTTAATATGGTTTTTTCAATGATGCCTTTTCTTTTTTAGACAAGGTCAAAAATGTATTATAAACCTAGTAGGACCTGCTTTACTTATCAAAGCTTTATCCTCACCTTATTCATAGTTTTTTTCCTCAATCACAAAATTTACAGTTTTCTAAGTTGTAAGTCAACCAATTTATAGGTCTTTAATTATTTTCTTTGTTTTTACTTAATTTCCATCTTAAATAGCCGTTGTTCGCAGTCTTGTTGAGAGTGAGTTTGTTTATTTATATTTTTTTTAAAAAAAAAACACTACAAATATATTTTACAATATAAAGATTTAGGATAATCATAGATTTAACCTAATTATGAACTTTTTTTATGTTGAAAAATTGCTTATTATTGTAAGCTCATATAGCAACTCCTAGCTTTTATTATAAGTTCTTTCATTTTTTTTTATTGATTTAGACATTTGTCATCATGCATATACTTAAAGGAAATGTATTAACTTCATAATTATATTTTATATTTAATTGATTCCTTAAATAATTATAATTTAATTTAAGTGAACAACTATTTTATTAATGCTACATTGACAGTAATATAAAATTTAAACAAAAATAAAAACAAATATTTTAACTTAAATTATTATTAATTATGAATTTATGGAAAATTATAAATTTTTGTCTATTAGAATTCCTTGCACACCTCATCCTTAAAATGTATGATCAAATACCTAAATATCTAAAAAAAAAATTCCAAAATAGTCATCAATTTTTAATTTTTTTATTTTTGTTGGAATTTATTTATTGCATTTTTTTACAGATTTTATGAGAGTGACTCTTTTAAAATCTTTCTTCTAGCAGTGGCTAAGGAAAGATTGAGTAAATCATGAAAATAAAGCAAAAAATAAATAGAATAAATGAAATAGAATAACTTAAAAAAATAGAATAAATAACAAAAGATATATTAAATGATAAAGAATTAAATAATTAATAAGAAAAAAGAAATAGAGTAGTAATAAGAAGTTGAAATAAGAAAGATGAAATTAAAAGTATATAAGAATAAGGTAAAACAAGTAAATAATAATGTAAATAATAAATATAGCAAGAAAAAATATCATTATATTTTTATTTTAGAAATGCAAAACCTACATTGCAATGGCATTGCATGCAATCACTTGTCCAATTGATGCCATTTGAATGATTACCTGTTTCTTTCCATGTCTCTCCATTTTTTCTTTGAATTCCATCATGTTCACATCCTTCTTGAACACTTATTAAAGCTGGTGCAGTTGATTTAACTGGGAATTAATGTTTTAATTTTTGAAATAAAATCAATTTAAAAAATCAGCTATAGCTTAAAATAAAAAAATCATATTAACATATATATATTTTATATATATATATATATATATATATATATATATATATATATATATATATATATATATATATATATATATATTTATATATTTATATATGTATATATATATGTATATATATATATATATATATATATATAAATATATATATATATATATATATATATATATATATATATATATATATATATATATATATATATATATATATATATATATATATATATATATATATATATATATATATATAATAGTATCAATAGTAATAATAAATATAAAGAATAAAATATATTAATACAAACAAAATTTTTTATAATTTATTGTACAATTTCTTGGCAAACAAATATTATGCATAATTAAACAAAAATAGAACAATTATGATTGATAAAGAATATTTTAATTTTTTAGAAATAAATTATAATGTAGTTATTACCATAAACAACCACAAACTTGTATAAACTGTAAATATAATAAACTTATAAGAAATAAATTAAAAAATCCTCAAGGCAAGGCCTCAATTTTTAGGCTTGCCTTAAGGATAAAAATTAAAGCCTTGGCCTAGAAACTGTTGGCCTTGGCCTTGACAGGGTGGTTGCATAAAATTTCTATAAGAAAAAGAAGACATTAGAGGATTTTAGAGTAGAGCTTGCATCGAACTTAGAGGATTTTTTTCGCAAAATTTCAAAATTTTGAATAAAATAGAGAGGATTGTAGAGGATTTTTTTTTTAAACTATAAGTTTAATATCCATGTATCTACATTAATGGGGTTTTGACAGGAGTCATTAATGTGATTTATTTTTTATGTTAAATGGCATGGATTTGTTAAAGCAATTTTTTACAATCTGATGCACTTTAAGGCGTTAACCAGTTTTGCTGACCAGAAATGGGTCAATGGATCTTAAATACCCATTATACTACCACATTTTTAATGGTATTTTAAATACTTATTATATGGTATACAATGGCAATTTTAAATACCCAAATTATACTACCGTCAAGAAATAAAAAAAATTAAACAGAGGAGTTAAAGAGGAGATTCCATCATATTTTTAACTTGTTAGAGGATAATAGAGGATTTTAGAGAAGGTTTTTAAAAGAAGAGGACTTTAGAGGATTTTAGAAGAGTGGCAGAAAATTAGATGAAATATTAGATCCATGAAATATATATTTTTAGCCGACCAACTAGAGACACCTGAAGCTGAAACCAGACTTACACAGGGCCCTAGAAGGCGGGTTTATTAGGGAGCCGAAACTTCCATTTTTGCCCCATTTAAGGGATTATGGCCATTTTAAGGGTTTATTTGTTGCGACTCAACCGAAACTGAGCAACGTCAACTTTATAGTTTATCTCCATTTAACTGAGATTTCCGGACGTAGAAGGAGACACTGAAAAAGTGACTACGCCAAGAACCTCAATCGACTGTCACGGTTTCACGTAACCAGTTGAGAGAGAATCCGGAGCCAAAATATGAATAGATACTACACTTGATCTTAGCCATTAGGCCGAGAAGCGATCCATGAAATATTAGATCCATGAAATATTAGATCCACTGCCGTAAAACTGAAAACGAGAATGCGTTTTTAATATATTTAGAAATGTTCCCTTGAGTCCGAATATTTATATTAAGAATTAACGAAACGAATATTTATATTAAGAATTAACGAAAGACGAAAAAAGAAACTAATATTTGTTTAAATTTGTAAACATTATTATCATATATGATTATCAAATACACACAATAAGGTTTTATTATACACATTGCAAAACTGCAATCAGTGCAATCTTCAGAGTATTGAATAAAGAAAAGGAACGTTATATTTAACAAAAACAGCGATTTGTTTACAAGAAATAAAGACATTTTACAAAGAATTATTTTTGCATTTATTATAAGCTTGCATTATCAACAAGAGCAACAAAAATAAAAAAAAATAAAATGAATGTTACAAAATTTATAGCTATATAAACGTTTTATTAGCTTTTTTTTTCCACTTTGCGTCAGTATTAATGTATTTATATTATATATTCGGACCCAAAGGAACCTTTCTAAGTATAATATATTGAAAACGTATTCTTGTTTTCAGTTTTACGGCAGTGAATCTAATATTTCATGGGATCTAATTTTCTACCACAGGCCACCCTGCTTAACCTTGATTGTTTTGGCCTTGGCCTTAAAAAACAATACATATTTTCTTATTGATTTTGTTGAATTCTGCGCATAACCTTAGTCTATTTTTACAAAATGTGATTTTATTGTCACAGCACTTGGTACTTACAGTTTTGTTAATAATTATCTTTAATGCAAAGCAAAAATTGAAGTCTTTGGTCTTGAAAATGTTTGCGTAGGCCTTGGCCTTGAAACTTTTAATCTTGGCTTTAACCTTAAAACTCTTGACCTTGCTCTTGGCCTTGTAAGGTATGGCCTTTGACTTATTACTTTTAACCTTGTTAACAACTCTGATGAAGGGGCAGGCGCACATTTTGTACACTAGAGTATCAAATTTAATTTTAACCAAAGGATGATACTAATCCGCCAAGACTTAATCCGCAAAAAGTTTTAGGGTTGTTCGTATAAGACGTCACGCTAAGTTTAACTAATGGCAAGAAAGAGAATGTTGGCTCTCGTGCGCAGAGATTTTTGGAGTATTATAACGCTTTATGTTAAATGAAAATATCTGCGGAAGGGAGCCAATAAACCTACTACTGGTTAGTATTTAAATTCTGAATGACGTCCTTTACGGACGACCCCTTGTCATATTTTTTTGTTAAATTTTATGGAAACTCGCAATTATAATTTTAAAAATAAATAATAAGCAAAGTTTACGAATATAATTTAGCTTAATCCTGCATACACACAACAACCAATAGAAATTAGGCAAAGAAACAATGACGAAATATTATTTTCAACGTCTTTTACGTTTTTTAAAATGATTTAAAATTTACCCAAACGACTTATTACTAGGAAGGAAAACATTTTTTTCACAGTTTTTTTAACAGCATTAGTTGCACCAACCTTATTTTATTGTTAAAAAGACATATATAAAAATGACCACCCTCGGCGACTTAAGTATTATATCGTTGTAAACGTTACTTAATATTTAGTTTCATAACTAAATATCATAATTAAATCTAAAATACAAAAATCTAATATAAAATACCCACATTTTTTATTTTAATAAAATACCCACACTTTATATTTTAATAAAATTCCCACATTTTAAATTTTAATAAAATACCCACATTTTAAATTTTAATAAAATACCCACATTTTATATTTTAGTAAAATATCCACACTTTATATTTTAATAAAACACCCACATTTTATATTTTTGTAAAATACCCACATTTTATATTTTAATAAAATATACACATTCTATATTTTAATAAAGTACCCACATTTTATATTTTAATAAAATACCCACATTTTAAATTTTAATAAAATACCCATATTTTAAGTTTTAATAAAATACCTACATTTTATATTTTAATAAAATATCCACATTTTATATTTTAATAAAATACCCACATTTTAAATTTTAATAAAATACCTACATTTTATATTTTAATAAAATATCCACATTTTACATTTTAATAAAGTACCCACATTTTATATTTTAATAAAATACCCACATTTTAAATTTTAATAAAATATCCACATTTTATATTTTAATAAAACACCTACATTTTATATTTTAATAAAATATCTACATTTTATATTTTAATAAAATACCCACATTTTAAATTTTAATAAAATACCTACATTTTATATTTTAATAAAATATCCACATTTTATATTTTAATAAAATGCCCACTTTTTATATTAGATTTTTGCGATAATGAGTCATTAAATAATTTTGTATTAGATTTTGGCAATTAAATCAATTGAAGTAAATTCCCTAAATTCGATTGGCTGTAAGTAATATCAAGCCACTGAATAACTTGATTTATCTAAATTACTTTTTGCGTAACAAATTGTAACACAAAAAATAATTTTGATTCGTACTTTTAATTTTGATTACTCAAAGAGCAAATTTGATTGTTAATTATTTTAATTATTTTAAAATTAATTCAGAAAAAGTATCATTTTAATGCTACTTATAATATTATATATTTTAATAATAAAATATTAAGAAAATAAAAAAACTTTTATAAAAAAAGACGTAACAATTTAATATCTGATATTTAAATCTTTTTTGACCCACTAATAAAGTTGTATTTAAAATTACAACGATTCCTAATTGTTTATATTACTTTTTAGTAGTAGTAGTAGTAGTAGTAGTAGTAGTAGTAGTAGTAGTAGTAGTAGTAGTAGTAGTAGTAGTAGTAGTAGTAGTAGTAGTAGTAGTAGTAGTAGTAGTAGTAGTAGTAGTAGTAGTAGTAGTAGTAGTAGTAGTAGTAGTAGTAGTAGTAGTAGTAGTAGTAGTAATAGTAGTAGTAGTAGTAGTAGTAGTAGTACTTTTTGCGTAACAAATTGTAACACAAAAAATAATTTTGATTCGTACTTTTAATTTTGATTACTCAAAGAGCAAATTTGATTGTTAATTATTTTAATTATTTTAAAATTAATTCAGAAAAAGTATCATTTTAATGCTACTTATAATATTATATATTTTAATAATAAAATATTAAGAAAATAAAAAAACTTTTATAAAAAAAGACGTAACAATTTAATATCTGATATTTAAATCTTTTTTGACCCACTAATAAAGTTGTATTTAAAATTACAACGATTCCTAATTGTTTATATTACTTTTTAGTAGTAGTAGTAGTAGTAGTAGTAGTAGTAGTAGTAGTAGTAGTAGTAGTAGTAGTAGTAGTAGTAGTAGTAGTAGTAGTAGTAGTAGTAGTAGTAGTAGTAGTAGTAGTAGTAGTAGTAGTAGTAGTAGTAGTAGTAGTAGTAGTAGTAGTAGTAGTAGTAGT